TATATATATATATATAAATGAAATGGACACTGTGCTACTTTGGACATATAATTAGATTTGAGGGTAGGTTAGTAGAGCTTCCCGATGAGTAAGATCAAATTGGGTGTATGCCCGTTCCATATAGCTAATAAAAAGGAAACAAACAAGTATAATAACATTTTGAAATTTTATAAAGACAAGTAGGAATTGATATACATGTAACTTAGCTAGCTATAGTAATATAGAAAGTTTTGATGCTACAAAAAATATTGAAACTATAAAGTCCAAACTACAAAAACTGAGTTACTTAAAATTTAAAAATTTTTATATCCACTTTGGTAAATCACTGTAATTATGCTATTCTGAACCAAATTAGGTATAAAATTTTTAAATATTAAGTAATTTAGTTTTATTAGTTTTGACTTTCTTGTTTCAATACATTTTGTAACAATAAAGTCAAAACTACAAAAACTGAGTTACTTAAAATTAAAAAAATTTTATCCCTACTTTGGTAAATCACTGTAATTATGCTATTCTGAACCAAATTAGGTATAAAATTTGTAAATATTAAGTAACTTAGTTTTAGTAGTTTTGACTTTCTTGTTTCAATACATTTTGTAACATTAAAACTTTCTATATTACTATAGCTAACTAGGTTACATATATATCGATCCCTATTTGGCTTTATAGAATTTAGAATTTTTTTATATACTCATAGTTATACGGTTGTGCATGATGTTTGTGTACATTTCTATATAGTTTTACTGTGATCTATTGTATTACTGTTTGTAGTGAAGGTGTGTGGGCAAGACCCACCTTGTTGTTAACTAGAATGGTATATCATGCATTGCTAGGTTAAGTTCCCTGTGGTTTGGATTCCTATGAAATGCAAGAGTGTATTGAGAAGCAAAACATATATATAAAAACATCTGATGTCTTCTGTGCTAAACTGTCCTGCTGGCCAAAGTCTCTCTTATGTCACTGTATTAATTCTGTATTAACCTGTTAAGGTTTAAATGTTACCTGTATTTCTTTTTTCTTTCAGAAATATTTTATATTAGCTGGTAAATACTTTGGCTACTATTTCTAATTGATAGAGTCAAGCTTGGTTTCTCATGTGGGTTTATAATGCTGTATGGTATATAGGAAGAAATAGCATGTCTTTAATAATCATTATCTTTGAAAGATGTTCAGCATTATTTAAAGTTTCTGTGATTGGTAGTCAACCTGTATCACCTCCATCATGTGCATCAACCCACTGGGTTTGTTTTGTTGTGTCTTTTCAGTGTTCTTATGTGATTAATTAATTATTGTTTTTGTAAATAAATCAGTAAGGTTATATATGGTGGTAGGGAAATCAGTCAAGAGTCTGACAGAATCAGCAAAAGAATATCAAGCTAAACAAATTAAAAGAAAATATGAAGAGGTTACTGTGGTAACAGGAGAAGAAGAAGAATCTAATGTTTTACAGGTGAGATACAGGTTTTGATTTACACATATTTCAGATTTGAAAGACAGAGTTAGATGATGGAATTGATTCCATTAATAACTTTTCACTGTTCACACACAAAATTTGTCTTACATCTATTTAAATATTTTTTGTAGTAAAAAAAAAGTGCAGATTGTGGTTTAATCGTATATCTTGTGGCATGTAATTACTATAAGTAATACACCTTTTAAACCACATATTTTTCATTGATTTTCATCCAAACTTTCCCATATAGATGTATGGAATATTCTACAAGTGAGTTAAAATGTAACTTTTATGTGATGTCACTAAATGGTGGCTTGATAGTTTTAAAAATTAGCTACACCATGCACCTATTGATTTAAACCTTCATAAACTAGAAGTGTAAATACTGCAATAATTAAAGGAATCAGCAGAAAGAAGCTTTAAATAAATATACATTAGTTTCAACAGGAAATAAAACTTTTAAATTGTATCTTTTGAAAGTAATTGTGAAGAAGTGCATTTGCTTGAAAGGTTATTTTCGTAAACTATAGTTAAATTGATTTTATTAATATAGAAGTACCTACTCGTTGAATTTATAAAAAAGAATGAAATCTGGCATCCACAAATCTCCTTCAAGTGATCTTCCACCAGTTCAGTATTTACATCTTTCAAAAATTATACTTCTACATTAAAGTTAACATTTTATAGTAGCAGAAGCATTCAACATTTCTAGATATCCCCCATATGGCACAGAAGTAAAAATTATGACAGTTTTAAAGTAAGAAACTGAAGGAAACATATGGAGAAACTTAAACTACTGTTATAGCTGAAGATGCTTTTAACTATATTAAAATGTTTTTAGCTAAGCCACTTTATTTAGACTGTTTAATATATACAAGCATCTGGTTTCTTGTTCTTTCCTGGGTGAGTAGCTTGAAATGAGTTTTTTATTAATAAAAATTTATACATTAATGGATGTCATAGATGTTTAGACAGCACACTTTCAAGGATTTTTCGGTTACTGGATTAAACTTAATTGTTTTAGTGACCACAGATGGTTTTTGGTTTGCAAATCTTTTAATTTTGCTGACAAAAGAATAGAATGAAATACTGTTATTGAATTAAATTTGATTGTTTTAGTGACTACAGGTGTAATAGGTCCTCAAACATCAATACAGCTAAAATCGGGGGGAGGGGGGTTATAGGTATTTATTCTGTTAGCAGAATTCATGTTTTTTCCTATAAGTGTTATCCCCCTTTTTGGAACTGAAAAATTATAGAACTACTTTAAATCATAATGAATAGTCTATTTTTGTTCATTCTAAATAGCTTTATGAAAAATAAATAGTATTTATATGTGTTTAACTCAATCAGAAGTTTATTAGCCAAGAATAAATAAAATTATTTAAACTGTCCAGCAGATTTCCCCAAGTTAGTTGTCAGACTGCAGATCACAAAGTTCAAGACTCAGGTCATCACATTCATTTGTGGGCATTTTATAAAAGTCACAGTCAATCCCTTTTTTCAGTTCAAGAAGCTAAACAAAGCCCTCTTCATGGTGGGTGCTACTAAATTTCTGCCTTTTCCTGATCATTATTGTCCACAACTAGGGACTGCTATATTGGAACTTAGGGGTCTCTGACCAGGCCAATTTAGCCCATGCATGCATAAGGTGCCATTCAGCTTGAAAGTACCAATATAGCCCTAAAGTTAGGGTAAACAAATTCCTCACCCACTTCAAAGACTCTGGTAGGTTGAAAGATACTCATTGGTTTACAAATATTTGTTTCAGATCACCTGTAAGCTTTTTTCGTTTGAAAAAAACAATGGTACATGGGTAGAAAAAGGCCGTGGAATGCTGAGGTTGAATGATCGGGAGGTAGATGGTGTGCTGCAGTCACGACTGGGTAAGAAAGCAGTCAGTTACTGATGCCACACAGTTAAAGTTCTACATTTTTCAGTAAATTTAAAATATTGCTATTTATTGTAGCAGTTTCTATGTTCTACTATCCAAATAGTGGATTGTTTAAGATTCTGCTGGTCTTAGCTGATTTTGCAAAATATCAAAATAAATTATGAATGTAATTGATAATTGTCAAATTCTATCTTGAATGTTTTGTGGTATTCCATAAAATAGTGTTTCTTACCACATATAAATGGTGAATATTTGAAAGTTTCATAAATTTAAGACTGAATGTTTTCTTTCAAACATTTTTTATTTTCTGAAGATAAAGTGCAAATCCATAATATTATATCATTATATGCTCACTTTCTTTCTTCAAAAATTGAATTATGTGCTTCACCTGTTATAAACTAGCATTAAGCTATTTTGAGTTGAGATTACTGGACAGTTTACAAAACAATTAGTCAGGCTCTAGGTGATAACTTTTGTTATGAAAAAGTTAGGTACCATTAAAACTTTACTATTTTAGGAAATGTAACCAGACCAGGTTTATAGACATTCTACACATTTGTCACTTGAATACCCTGTGCCTCATCAGTCACAAAATAAATGCCCCTCCCCCTCCCATACCAGAATAAACTCGGAAAGAAATTCTTTACAGGTTTGTTGAATACATGTTGTGATTGAAAGTTAAAAGTACAGGGTATTATTTGTAAAGGAATTAAAAGTTTTAGATATGAAAAAAGAAAATAAATTACTGTGTTTTAGACTATGCTATCCCATCTTCCGAGTAGGTTTGAGAACTTTAATGAACTTCAACTACTTGTTGAATGAAATGGGGACAATAATTTGACTTCGATGCTGAGGCATTTTTCCAAGCCTCAGTATAAAAGTTCAAAAGTTGTATCTTTTTTTTTTAACAGGCAGTTGAAGTCCATTAAAGTTGTCAAACCTACTCTGTCTACCCTGCCTAAAGTTCTACTGAAACAACAGCCCATGTGCATGCCTAGTAATATTGGTTGGTAACCAGTTAAATTCCAACCACTCAGGAGTAATGTAATGATTGGTAAAAACAATTAAATAGCATTGAGAAATACAAGGTACTGAAAGATTTTCGATTGGATTAGAGAAGATTCATTTGAAAATATATTTGTGCATGTATACACATTGAACATTTTCTATCAATATTATACATATGATATTATGATATATCAAAAGATCACAAAGGATCAGTTTACTTAACCCTAGTAATATGCTTTTGTAATTTGAAATGTTGATTAGTGAATGAAGTCATAAACCCATTACTCAATATTTTTATTAGTGTTCATAAGCTGAAGAATATTTTAGAAGCCTTGTGGGTCCAGTAGTGCCACTTATGGTTGCAAGTCTTAAACAGAAAGAAAGAAATCTTTAGTACATTTTATGTTAAGACATATTAGGTGTTTTTATCAATGACAGATAAAACAAGTGTAGTTAAGATTAGGATTAATGAGATTCCCACTGTCCCTATCTACTATCTTGCAAAACCACAGCCAAGGGAATGGGCTTGGAAAAGTTGCAAGTTTTAAACAGAAAGAAAGAAATCTTTAGTACATTTTATGTTAAGACATGTCAGGTGTTTTTATCAGTGATAGATAAAACAAGTGTAGTTAAGATTAGGATTAACGAGATTCCCACTGTCCCTATCTACTATCTTGCGAAACCACAGCCAAGGGAACCGGCTTGGAAAAATCAGCGTGTAATATGTCATAATATTATTACATAGAATAAAAATGCTTCTCAGGTTAATATATTGTTTTTATTTAGGTTAGAGAGACTAATATTGTTTGTTTTATGTTGAGGAAAGTTCATAATGTTCACTTTCCTTAAGAATTATTTTTTTCTCTGAAACTCCGACATTAACTGATTAATTTTTGTATCATGTTACTTTATGTAAACCATTTTCCATTGTGTGAATTTTAATCTTTATAATTCTGTGACTTTATTTTCTAGTCATGAGAACTCAGGGTAGCCTACGACTAGTTCTCAACACCAAGGTGTGGGCAGGTATGTCCTTGGAACAAGCTAGCCATAAAACTGTTCGTATCAGTGCGATTGACACGGACGGAGTGAAAGTTTACCTCATAATGGTAATAAAATGAACTATGCTTAGCATAGTCTCTTTCTTAAAGATTAAGGGTTGGTTGATTTATTTACCTTTATTTTAAATTTTTCATTAACATTCAAAAGGCTTTCTGTTACGTTAAGTGTATTACTTAGTTACCTTATTTTTGGCTAAAAAATATGGGTATTTTGTGAAATATTTCTCACTTTATAAATGTGATAGAGCAGCCCATAGTTTATTTCTGTGAACAGATTTAGAAATAGCATGACTCCAAATTAATGTCAGTAAAAGAGAGAGAGAGAGGCAAAAGAAAATGTCACTGTATAAGATACCTATGACAGATACTGATTCACGTAAGCTTACACATGCTAAGCTGGAGGTTTTCTCTAGTTTTCAGATTCAATAGCAAAAGTTTCCGGGTATTGCAATCACCTTTACAAGTTAAAAGTTGCTAAATTGTAGGGGGCACAATGAAAATTATTGCTGAATGGCCAATGTTTGATAACAGGTTGTCAGGCTGAAATTTTTAGTTTACATTTCAACAAAATATTCTTTATGTGTGAATAAGTTTAAACAATATCTGCTTACTTGAAAATATCAGAAAGTAGAAAATAAGAAAGTTAACAACTAATGAAACAGTAAGAGTATAGACAGTAAGCAACAAACAGAAACTTAAAGTAATATTAAGTTTTTCATAGAAACAAATTGTAAAAGCATAAACTAATAATAAACTTATTCATCTATTTTAATATTCTTTTAACTAAAACTTGGCTTCTTTAGTTTGTGCACTGAGCATTGATTGTATGCTATAATAAAGTGTTACCTAAAAATTCCGCATTCTTTTTGATGCCAATATCCATTTCAAATCTGTGTGTGTGAATATTTAGCACTTTTTAACCCTTTTCTGGTGGTAAATTTTTGACTGATAATTTGTAATGTGGTTTCATTTTGACATCTTATATTTCATCATACTTCCATATTTAGTTTTCTTTTTATGAAGATTAACTTTTATTCAGTAGAGTAACCCTTCTTTAGAGACATTGCTTTCCCTCTACCCTACTTCATCAGCTCTGTAATATAAGACTGCATTAGAAGTACGTGAATGCCAGCTTTATTGATACTCGTGTTCTGTTTAAACCTGTTCTAACATATTTCACAAAATTAAGAACTCTAACATAAAAGCTCATATTCAAAAAATTTTACTAGCAGTGTAACTAGATCCATTCCATTCTAGTGGTCTCATGTAGAAAACCAGATCCATTCCAGCAATCTCACATCGAAAACAAGATGCATTCCATTCTAGCGATCTCGCATCCAAATCCAGATCCATTCCAGCAATCTTACATCGAAAACAAGATGCATTCTAGCGATCTTGCATCCAAAACCAGATCCATTCCATCCTAGCAACCTTGAATCCAAAACCAGATCCATTCCATTCTAGCAACCTTGCATCCAAAACCAGATCCATTCCATTCTAGCAACCTTGCATCCAAAACCAGATCCATTCCAGTGATCTTGCATCAAAAACTAGATCTGTTATATTCTAGTGGTGTCCCATAGAAAACCAGATCCATTCCATTATAGTGATCTCATGTAGAAAACTAGATCCATTAGATTCTAGTAGTCTCACATAGAAAACTCGTTGCTGAATTGTATAGCCTCTTTGTTGTTGCCAAATCAGTAGCTTATATTTAAATTAGTTTTTGAAGAGGGATAAAGGTAATAATTAAAGTATCTTTTAATTAATAAGAATGATGAATTAATACTTTTTTAAGTTATCTTTGACATTATATATATATAATATATATATATTTTCTTCTTCTTCCTTCCTTATCTCTAATCGTACACATGTTCATGTATAAGCTTCATCCCGTAATGGTTACTTTAACATTTGTGTTTCTGACATGAGAAAGCTAGTTAAATGTTAGTATGTTTTTGTACTCTTTTTATGAATAAGTCTCCTGCTCTAATGACTGCTTAACAATATTGTATTTCATATGAGCAAGCTTAAGTGACAATAATGCTTCTGAATTTTTTCACAAAATATGTCTAATGTTATATTAATTGCCTTAACATTTCTGCATTGGAAGTAAACATATTACGAAATGAAAATATAAAAACAAGTGCACAAAATCATACATTGAAGCAATTACTGCGATGAAAATATAACTATTACCAGGTAAATTAAAGAGTAAATTTTTGTCATTGGCCATGTGACTGCAAGAAAGCTTGCATTTTTAGCTTTGGGTAATTACCTGAATCATGTTTATGACTTAAAAGCTTTTCTGTCATTAAATAGTGAATGAAACTTCTTTAATTTTACTACCTTTGGTACAATAAGTGCATCTGGATTAATTGTATTACATTTGACACAATGAGTGAAACTCGTTCAATTTTATTACATTTGACGCAATGAGTGTATCTTGTTTGATTTTACTACATTTGACACAAACAGTGAAACTTGTTTGATTTTACTACATTTGACACAAACAGTGAAACTTGTTTGATTTTACTACATTTCACACAAACCGTAAAAATTGTGTAGTTTTACTACATTTGACACGAGCAGCATACAGTAGGAATAAAACATGTACGTTTATAATTTTATACCTTGCCTAAAGACGGTTCATCTTAAATGTAAAATTGAATTATTTCTGCAGTGAGAAATGTTTGTATGGAGCAAAAATTCTAAATTAGATTTAACATTGGGGATTTTTTTTTTGCCTTGTTGAGGTTAAGTATGGAAAACTTCATATTTCAGTGTAGCAGATGTGCACAAAATGTAAGTAGTTTAACACTGTGTGTGTGTGTGTAGAATAAAAACATTACACTATGTTTTCTTATTTACTTTAGGCAAACCCTAAAGATTCAGAACAATTGTTCAGTGCTCTGGAATGTCGAGTGGCTACTCTAAAGTCACTTGATGATAACTGGAGTGATAGTAACCTAGCAACGCAAGCATCAGTAGGTTCTTTTGATGATGATGATACTACCACATCAGACTGTGAGTCAGAAGTGAAGAGGCCTCGTCGCATGGAAGATATTCAATCAGGAGAAGCTGACAGCACTACAGGAGTGGCTCCACAGCTCCGCCTACACCACACACCCCCACCAGAAACTGGCATTGACTCTAGCAGCAATGCAAGCCAGTAAAGGACTATCCCTAATAAATTTATGTACAAAATCTAACATTCAGTCTTAACTATACTACACTTGGCTTGTCATGGTTTTACTACTGACCTCTGATAAGTTGTCTTTATGTTTCGAGTTTTTGGCCAATTTGCATAGCTTTTTTTTTTTCCTGACAAACAAAAATCATAGAAGAAAACATGATAAACAACAATCTAATAAGTTATGTAGAAAATAAAAATCATACAAGAGGACAAGTCTTGTTTTTTGAAAAAGAAGCTTGCATACAAATAGAAAAAAAAAGTATTATCATAAAAGGTTTTTTTCCTTCCTTACCCACATTATAAGCCTGAAAGAATATATCAGTTAAATAGGCTTTTATCAGGTTATTCTGACAATTCATTATCTTTTTTAAGTAGACAGCAAGTCAGTGAATATTTCCTGCTTTGTTTGATAATTTTAATATTTGTCCAAATGTGGAAGTTTTGTAAAATATGAAAGACACGACAAATTTGGAACTATGTGGTGTTCTTTATTCTAAATAGCAACTTTGTTGCCTTGTGTATACATAACCAGAAATCATTGTGAATAAAAACTTGTAGCAACATTATTGTGACAATGTTTTTTGAATAATTAGAAAAAATTACATGCATTGTGAATGTTTGTTGTTGTTTAAATGGAGCATTATAATGTAACAGTCAATTCCATCATTCACTGGTAGAGCATAGCCCAAGAGTTGTCTGTGGGTGGAGTTGACTGTAGTCTATCATTTCAAAATTAGGGACAACTGGTGCAGATAGCCTTCCAGTAGTTTTGTGCAAATTTTAAAAACAAACTGAACTATCACTACAGCAGTGTTTATAGGGTAAAAATGACTATAAAATAGTGTCATTTAGAACCTTTTAATTTCTAACAGCCTACTCTGAAGCAAATCATAATTAAGTTGGTTTCAACTGTCTTCATAATATCTTCTTTCATACCAACTATAATAACTTTGGCCTCACCTTGTAGATATATATATTAATCATTGGAATAATTTTTCACCTAGTAAATTTATTTAAAATATATGTACTCTCTAAGTTTTTACTTTGGAACCACTGTAATAAGTTTTAAAAGTATGTATAAACATTTTATTAGACTGAATAGCTGTTATTCTACTTTATCCAAAACTCTTACTGTAAGTCATGAAACTATTTATTATAAATTTTTCAAGATCTGAAGAGTATTATGAAGGAAAAGGATCTTGGTATTCTGGTTGGTTGTGTACTGTTGCTAGTGGCAGGACAAAGATGATTTTAGGTTGTATCTACAGAGATATTGAATACAAGTCTAAAGAGGCTATAATTTCATTTTATAGGTCACTGAATATGCCACATTTGGAGTACTGTGGTCAGTTCTGAGCTCCTTACCTTAGGAAGGACATTGAATTGTTGGAAAGGGTTCAGAGAAGGGTTACTAGAATGGTGCCTGGGATGGAGGGGTTATCATATGAGGAGAGGTTAAGGTCTCTGAAATTGTTTTCTCTGGGTAAAAAGAAGAGTTCAAGAGGATCTGATTGAAGAGTTTAAGATTTTTAAGGGAATTGATAGTGTTGATGAATCATCTTTTTTCGTACTTAATGGTGAAAATGGTAGGAGTAGGTTACCCAAAATTTGGCAAATTAGGAACCATCTTCAGCTAAGACAATTTTTTTCTTCTAACAGGGTAGTTGATCTTTGGAATGCGTTGCCTTCAGATGTGGTAGATGCAATAAACTTAATGAGTTTAAGGGGTGGTTTGAAAAATATTTGAATAAGTACTAGCTTGAATGTATGTACAGTTTAGTGGATGGGACAGCCTAGATGGGCCAGATTGTTCCGTGTTGACCTTAAATGTTATGTTAGTACAAAGTATTTTACAGCAACAAGTTGTGTGTTACTAACAGTATTCGCCGAAATTAGTTTCGTCTCCTAAACGTGGCTGTTTAATTTTTGTAACTTGTACCATACTTTAAAACATGAATAGGAATCCGATAAAGTTATTGAGGGTATCTTTTTCTTAAGCTTTTATATCCTTGAATTTATCTAGTGAAACTAACTGCCAAAATTTCGAAAAATTCTCAAGTAAATTTGATTTTTGGTAATGTTTCTAGCAAATGTGCCAGACTTAATAGTAGAATGTAGTTGTAATGCTGGGTTGAACAAATACTGATTGCTTAAAACGCAATAAAAAGTATAGCCTACTAAATGTACTTCCTCAGGGTCCCCAAAAGTGTTCTTTTTTCAAGAGTAAATAAAACCGAAATTAGGAGTAACAAATATCTTTATTCCCTGCTTTTGAAATTCATGTGTCATACTGTGTTGTAGCCTTCAGAGTGCATAATTCTTCTCGTGATTCATGGCATGAATACGTTTTACTGACGTCACAACAATAGGAATTGGTTCGTTAAGCGTCACTTACGTGATGTCATTTTAGTGTCTACTGACTGACAAACAACACTACTATATAGTAGTTAAAACAGGTGACCCCTCCAGGCGTATTTCGGCCCCTCTTTTGGGGAAATTAGCACAAAGTATGTTAGCTTTAGTGGTTGTTTTTTATACACCAGGGGAAAAAATGACGGATAGCATATGATTCATATTAGTGAGGCCGGATGTGGCGTAGTAGTTAACGTTGGGCTGTGCATCGAAGGATCCAAAATTTGAATCATGATGCCACTCTATACTTTCAGCTGCGAGTTGTAAGGGTGACAGACGATCACGTTTGTAGTATGTAGAGCCGGATAAAGTCCTAGTAGCGGCTGGTGCTGCTGGTTGGATGCTCTCCGTCTGGTCAGGAAGCGCGAAAATGCCCTATCTCCCATTATAAAAAAAAATAGCTTCAATATGGTCGTGAGTCCGTATCCGGA